GGGGATGGGGCTCCAAGCAGTTCACCTGCAGGGGGGGGTGAGAGAAAGGGGGGGTGTCACCCTAAATTAGTGTCACCAGGAGTGCCACCTACAAGCAAACCTCAAAATTTGGGGTGTTTTCAAGTGATTTTGAGGTTTATATGAGTGTAATGACAACAGGGAGGAAACGGGTCACATCCATCCAGCCCGGGGTTGGTTTTGATTGTCAGGGTGGTTTCGTGGTGACAGCTGAGGGTGACAGTGCCAGCAGCCACCAGGAACTGTGACACTGAGCCACAGCCACCCAGACAAAAGGAGACTGTCTGCTGGGAGCAAAGCTCTGCTCCCCGTCCCCGCGCCAGCGAGGAACCTGCTGTCCCCTCAGTGCCAGCCCCAAGACTTGTCCCATGCCAGGAGCCTTGTCACCAGCTGCCACCCCGGGAACGGATCCCAAAGGCCACTTGGGATGTGACTGTTGGTGGCCAGAGCCTGGGAAATTTGGCTGGAGCCTGAGAAATTTGGTGTCCCCAGAGCAGCTGTGTCCCTTTTCCTGGATGTCACCGAGTTGAGGACGCAGCTGCGTGTCCAGCAAGGAGGAAAGGGAAAGGGGTTGGCTGTCCCCTCATCCTGGACAGCAGCAACTTTGATGTCCCCACCCCTTTGGTGACAAAACATCCACCCCCCACTGTGAGGTGTCTTGAGTGAAATCCTTGTGGGATTTCATATGCCAGGGTTGTTCCCAAGAGCTGTGGCCCGTGCCAGTCTTGTCTCAGCTGTCCCCTCTGTCACTGCAGGAAAAATGTCCCCTCTGTCACTGCCCGGGGTAGGAGTGATGCCAAACACCCCAGGCTGTGGGGCACCAAGGATCCTGCTGAGCTTTTGGGGAGAAAAAGCAGGAAATAAGGTCTTTTCTCCACTCTCTGGGGCAGGAATGATGCCAAACACCCCAGGTTGTGGGGCACCAAGGATCCTGGTAAGCTTTTGGGGAGAAAAAGCAAGAAAAAGGGTCCCTTCTTCCATTTCCTGGGGCAGGAGTGATGCCAAACAGCCCACATCGAGGGACACCAAGGATCCTGCTGAGTTTTTGGGTAGAAAAAGCAGGAAAAAGGGTCCCTTCTTCCATTTCCTGGGGCAGGAGTGATGCCAAACAGCCCACATCGAGGGACACCAAGGATCCTGCTGAGTTTTTGGGTAGAAAAAGCAGGAAAAAGGGTCCCTTCTTCCATTTCCTGGCATAGGAACGATACCAAACACCCCAGATCATGGGGCACCAAGGATCCTGCTGAGTTTTTGGGGAGAAAAAGCAGGAAAAAAGGTCATTTCTCCACTCCCTGGGGCGGGAGTGATGCCAAAAACCCCACATCGAGGGGTACCAGGGATCCTGCTGAGTTTTTGGGTAGAAAAAGCAGGAAAAAGGGTCCCTTCTTCCACT